ACAAACAATGCGGCAAGATAAATCTTTCCAACAAAGTAACACATATAATGATATATTAAGATTAAAATGTTTAGAATAGTAGATAAATGTAACTAAAAGATATTCTAGAAGACCCACCGTGTACATGAAGTGTAATCCGCGGGTTTAATGAACTCTCTCGGTTCTGACAATTTGGTTCGTAATTAAAGCGGTTTTCAAGCGAGTGCAGTAAAACCAAAACCAAAGTAATCACAGCCTTGGCCAATCACAACAAACGAAAACAAATAAGGAACCAATCAGAACTCGAAGAAAATACATGTAACCGGCGCCAAGCGCGGGAACACGCTTGTGACCAAGTTACGATTGGTTTTAGTTTGACATCTGATTGGTTAAGAAAGTGGCGCGGGTTTATCGAACCAATCAGAGAGCGTAGTACAGCAAAAACAAAGCAAACGCGTATTACTATGGACACCAGAGGTCTATAACTCTGTCGACACCCAATTGTAAACCACTCTATCATTTGAAAGGAAACCTCTACTGTTGGAACAAATTGCTGTTAAATTGTTGGAAATATTGTCTAAACTGAAAATTTGTTGAAATAAATTGGGAAAACGTTCAATTGTACGGGATAATTGGATACACATATCAGCCATTTTGGGGGTTGAATTTCCCGCGCGCCGCCATTTTGTATTATATGACGTATTGTGGTTGCCGCTATTGTCAGTAAACAATAGCTCTTTTGTTGTATAACAAAAGGGGCAACCATGAAACGTCATAAAATCCAAGATGGTGGCGCGCGGGTAATTTGAAACCTAAAATGGCAGAGATTTGTAGCCAGTTTTTTCGTTAACACTGAAATAATATTGCGCGGTTTTCAACAAATTTTAGGTTCAGATTATTTTTCTATCACTTTAACGGCAACTTGTTCCAACAGTCGGGGATTCCTTTAAACGAGTCTTAATCTCTTACAATGGGTCTGCGTTTTTTATCTTTTATCTGAATGATACCTGAAAAAGGCGCCAAATTTTGCTGCTGATTGCTAAACGCTACTTCTGATTGGTCAGATGTTAAATTAACCAACCAATCAGGGACAGCGCGGGCAAATGTCTTTATGACGTAATGAAATATATTGAACAATGTTCGATGAGTGAATTCATGGCGAGTTTCGATCACGAATTGAAGCAACCTCGTTCCCAGGGTCTCTCTTCTTCCCGCCAAACGCGATTGAAAAGAGACCCTGGTTGGTGCTGGTCACGTGTCTAGGTGACATTTTTAAACCCTAGGGAGGGCTCCTATAATTACGAATCTTTGTCGCGCTTGCTACAAACCGCCACTGTTCACAGGGATTTGCGATCGTTTTAAGATTTCTTATAAGCCCAAGCAAGTTAAGTGTTTAGAGGCAATTTACTGTGGCCGAGATGTTGTCAACTAACCGGCCAAGCTAATATATTTTGCGAGTCAGTCTAAAATGCTGTAAAATCTAACACATCGCACAATGTAAATAAACTGAAGTGAAATGCACGTTATATGTCGAGTTATTTCTTTTGTAAGATCAAAGGCTAAAGGTAAGGCAGGTGCAATGAAAACAAACAGAAACAAACAATAATACGTAATTTACCTGGAGTTGGGTTGAATTTTCTTGAAGATTCATACCGATCGCAATATGTTATGATCGGCTCATTTTGTCAACTTTATAAATTATATTCGCAACGCCGCCGGTAGCGACAAAATACACGAGACCGTCAAATGAACAGATAAAAGAATCGAGCAAAACATCGTAACCGAATGAATAAAAACTATAAAGATTTTATTTACCCCTTTCCTGTCCTGGATTTGAAACTATAAGTTCGATCCGCGACGGTTTCCTTTCGATCCTTCGCCGCGCCGGCCTTCACTCTTGGTATAAAATGTTCGTTGTACAGCCGGTGGCGATATTTCGATAAAACACCTAAGAACTCTGGCTTACTTGATCGTTAAAGGCTTCAAAATTCATTAATCGTCTTTCGCATGGCCTGTACAATATATGTGATGTGTCAAATATAATTTATCTTGTCCCAAATTATGGTCCAACAATCCATAAATACGCTCCACAGTGTAGCGCCATAAATATATTCAACAGTACAGCGGGCGAGCAGTGCGCGATTTCCTTTCCTTTAGCAAAGAAGATTCTTTGAGAGCTTTTGAGCAGGATACATATCGCCAACCGATTTGCACAGCCTGCAACAACTCGGATTTTAATTGGAACCGCCAAAGTGTTTACCACGAAAACACGTCCTGATTTACAACACTCAGTAGAGACAAATTTCACACTTAGCTGCCCCTCCCTCACATCGTTCATTTGTAATCTCCCAGATTCTGGGAGCCACGTGACCAGCCCCAACCAGGGTCTCTTTTCAATCGCGTTTGGCGGGAAGAAGAGAGACCCTGGGAACGAGGTTGGAATTGAAGCAGTATCTTCACTTTTGTTTTATAACAAGATGAAGATTCTTCTTTTATTTTTGTTCGCTTTTTTGGTTATCTTCGAACCGCTAAGCGAGAATTCCTTCCTTGGCCGATGCACATCCAGTTTGGACGATTCAAAGGATTTGAATTGAAAGAAAAAAAACTATTAGCGTTGGTCCGTGTGAGGGTCGAACTCACGACCTTGGCGTTATCAGCACCACGCTCTACCGACTGAGCTAACGGACCAATCACACGAGAAATACAAATGAAAAGTTCAGTTAATCAGAATTCAGTGCGCTTCACGGGGTTTTAATTTCTGTCGTTTCAAAGCGTTATTCGCTCATGCAGTTTTGACATTGTACAAAGTTAAAATAATTTAAAATGTTGGACAAAATAGTCTGTATATGCTGAGACTAATGATTCTTAAACCATAAAACTGAATTCGAAGATGGCTCTTATCCTTGCTGCATTTATATTAATTTTAATCTATTTTGAACTTTTGATATTACTTAGTTATATAGTTTCAGTATTTGTTTTTGACCGATGACATTATGTAAAGCGCATTTGGGCATTATTTTTGAGAATGGAGACTGGGAGCGAAAGACTTTGGGCCGTTGTTCCTTGAAAAAGCATTAGGTTTGATAACATAAAGTGCGTTTTGCTGAGACGGCAAGGACATATCAACGAGGAAGTACCAAACGAAATCTAAAGAAGATTTTCTATCAAAAATAGACCTTAAAATAGTCAGCAAAAAATATATATTATGGAGAATCCGGGTATCGATCCCGGTACCTCCCGCATGCTAAGCGGGCGCTCTACCATTTGAGCTAATTCCCCAGATACAACTTATAACGCTCTTCGCTTGTTAGCAATTGTTTCATTGCTTTAGGCATCTTAATAGAGAGCTTAAGCACAGACGTTTTTGAGACACGGACGGCTGTTCTCTTCTTTGGCGTGTATTATCAAATTTTTGTCAAGCTGTTACAAATGTTAATACGAGAGGTTTCCAACTCTTTGGTGGGGATGAAAGCGCGCCAAAAACAAGACCATTCGCCTGCTCAAAAACGTCTGAGTGTGCTTAAGCTCTCTAATATATTACTATGGAAGGAAATGAAACGTATCTCGATTATATTCCACTCACTGAAGCGAACATCGAATTTGTAGAGCTGAATTCGCTTTTCTTGACCAATGAATGAACTGAACGAACTAAGAATGTATGAACGAACGAACGAATGAATTAATGAATGAATGAATGAATACCGTTATTTAAACATCAGAATAAAATAGAAGTATAATAACCACTAAATGGGGACACTGTAAAATCAATGATAACCAACGAGACCCTCGTTCAACGCAATTCTAGGCTAACAATATATGTATACATGTATATACTGAAGAGAAAAAAAAATGTTGATGATTTTATGAACTCTGTTATGACCTGTTATTGTAAAAAATAAAGGATGGTCCGTGTGAGGGTCGAACTCACGACCTTGGTGTTATCAGCACCAAGCTCTACCGACTGAGCTAACGGACCAGACACACGAACTAGAGATAAAATAAGTACCTAAGTCGATTTGATAAAGTTCCTCAGGGACTTGCGGAGGAGTGGGGGAAGGCTGGGGTAATAGTCCATTTTACAGTTGTGTGCTTAGAATCCAGGCCTTTGAACAGAAGTGAGGCTAGGCTGGAGGTGACTTTGTTGTGATACAAACCTTCCTTCTTTTCAAATGTAAATTATTATGTTGTCATGTTAACTAGTTTCTGATCATCTATCATCTCATGGTCACCCCTAACCTCGCTTTCATACAGAGGCTTGGTTACATTTGACATAACTGTAAAATGGTCTATTGAGGAAATGATCAGTGGAGAGAAGTAAATTCTTTAACAATACGTTATCTTGCAAAAGTGTCTCAAAGAAGGAGTAAAAAAAAGCCCAACCGTTTGACGAGTTTGAAGATGATTGACAGTCCGTTTTGCGCAGTCTCAGTAGCATGGCCCCCATTTAAAGAGATTAACCAGCATGTCTGAACTGCGATGTCAGTTGTATAAATATTGATACAAATTAAAAGGTTGGGGAAGAGCTGCAACGCAAATGGTCTAAAAAAAAACCTTTACACTAAGCAAATTGCTCATGGAGAATCCGGGTATCGATCCCGGTACCTCCCGCATGCGAAGCGGGCGCTCTACCACTTGAGCTAATCCCCAGATACATTTTAGCGACATGAAAAATAGAAAAAGTACTTTTAATCATAGTTTTGATACTCTAACACAAACGGCTTCAACATTGCGCGAACAAAAGAAATGTCGAGAAGATGTTGAGACAAAGGGAGTGTCAAACGTTTATTCGGGCCTTTATGAAACGGTTTGAACCAACTCGTGTCTGTAGGAGTTTGTACTGAGTTACCACACACTCTAAGATCGTCCGTCGGCCGGGGAAAGAGAGACTTGAGAGATTGGACCGCTGAATTAACTGAGTTACTGCTAAGACAGTTATGGAGAATATGGTTATTGATTCCGCCGTACCTCCCGACTGGCCGGCTGTAAACACGAAAAAGACTCGGACGGTATGATGGTAAAATAGATATTGTGATGGTCCGTGTGAGTCACGACCTTGGCGTTATCAGCACCACGCTCTGCCGACTGAGCTAACGGATACAAAACTTAGAAACCAGTTCATTACATTCCGTTCCATCAGTAGTATTTAGTGGTTCAGGTAATAACATATAAGACTCGATGGATCATTAATGTGAAGATGATTCTCGTATGTTATACCGAAAAAACCTTCATTTAGAAAATGTTATGTCCCTCGTCAAACAGTAACCGTATCCCACCCCACCCCCTCTTATATGCACTCTTTGATGTACGAAGACGCACTGCACTATAAAAGGAAGACAGTCCTCATTTGTCAATCATCAGCGAACGAGACAATAGTTCCAAATTAGCATCCAATCAAATGTTCAGTTTTTCTTGCGAAATTATTCTTGTTATCATGCATAGTAATTTTAGGTGTGAATTTCTTGCCTGACAAGCTTTTTTATTGTTATTGTTATTTTCATTCGATAAAATATATTTCCATTCGATCATATATTTTCATTCGATAAAATATATTTTCATTCGATAAAATATATTTTCATTTGATAAAACATATGATTCGATTAAAATATTTTCATTTTGTAAATATTCATATTTTCATTCGATAATTTTTTTTATTTGATAAAATATATTTTCATTCGATAAAAAAAAAATTCATTCGATAAAATCACGTGGTAACGTTATGCCTGGTCGCATAGCTGAAACTTGGCGAGGGATGAAGATGTAGCCGATGAAGATGTAGCGTTGCTATGACAACTGGTGATGATGTCATAGTGGTCTCATATTATTCACTGATGATATCAATGTTCGATTTTTACAAACGTTATTTGTCAGCATCAGCAGGCTAGCTGTTCAACAATGTCAAAGACAGGATGCTGTAAATTATTGGCAGCCACCTTAAATGACAACATAATTATAAGCTGCTAATCGTCGAAAACCTATTTCAGAAAATAATTTGAGAACATAATTCCAGAAAAAATGATGATATTGGATAAGAACTAAAATGATATTTTCTTGCCGATGAACAAGCTGATAGACGTTACTAAATAGTACCCCGGACAGAACAATTGAGGATTGGGTTAAATGATAAACGGCAACAAAACCGAAAAGGAAATTCCACACATGGAAAATTTTTAAAATACCTCAGTGTTTTTATTAAGACCACAAAAAAGCGTGTAAACATGAGAGGCTTTGTCAGTCTTCGAACCAAACATTTGCCATGCTCATGCAATATTTATATACATGAACCGAACCTTGGTGGGCCGCCACTTCCAGACATGATTCCTCTTTGTGCTATTTTATATGGATTGTCTTGGTAGAGCTGGGATATACAACAACAGCATTACAATCCTGAGATCCATGAACGATTTCACCAGCATATTAAGCTGCAAATGGTGACGTTTCTACCCAAGAGAAACGAATCGGAAGGCAACCCAACTGAGCTTTTTTAAGGTAATGTCAAGGCTAACGTGAAAAATGCATGGAGGGCTCCAGCAGATGAATAAGGTTCACGAGACTTCTACGAAGCACAGCAAGAATTGTCATATGCTCTTGGCCGGCTGCAATTCAAAATCAAAGCCTTCCATTCCGTGGTATGGTGCTCCAGCTACTGGCCGCCATCTTACAAGTCGATGGAAAGAACAACCGCATGGCAAAACGAGTCTTTAGACGGCGACAATCAGGAGATGGTGAGGTTTTCGGGTGGCCACAAAATCTTTAAATGTTTGTTTTGTAAGATTGACTGGCCGCATTTTACTATTCAAGGTCAGATAATAAAACAGAAAATACCGATTATTTGTACAGACTCGTTATTCGTTGTGTGACATGTACTTTCCGAGATATCACGTGATTTTCAGTTTTACATCATTGATCGCTCCATATTTAGAAGCGCTGTAAGAACAAAACGAATTAACTTCCTGTCATGCAAACAGAAATCTCATGTGTAGAATTTCATATTTTATTTAATAAAATCAAAACTGAGAAATATGTGTCTCTCGTTTTTATATAATTGATAAATATATCAATCCTCAATTGTTCTGTCCAGGGTACTATAGAAAAAGTGTCTACTTAACAATTATTCGCCGACGGCGAAGTGAATTTTCACAATATTCACTGAGCCTAATATTCACTTAGTATAATTTTCAGAGGTGAATATCAAGAACTACAAAATTACGAGCTAAAACATGAAAAACAACATACGCAAGTACTCGCCATATTACCGTAGTTACATCGTTTACACATCAAATTAAGCAGTAAAATACACAAAAGAACACTATTTATCAGGTACCTTTGTTTGATCGTTGCTGATTTCATGAGCAGCTGTAGCTATCAGCTATCAGTAGCTATTGTCAACGAGGACTGAAGCACGGAATTGTTTCTTATACTTCAACTTCCATATATGTAATGGGAGTAGCTCAAATGGTAGAGCACCCAAAGGCTGGTTCACACTTGTGAAATAAACACTAGCATAAGTACAAGAAAACTCAAGTGTGCACCAAGGTGAAATAAGCACAAGCCCACAAAATATGATTTTTGTGTATTTTTCTTGTGCTTGTGCTTGTGCTTATGCTTAATTTCCTTATTCACCAATGCCGGGAACCGGCAGTGTACTACAAGAATTTGCCATCTTGTCGTTACCAGTTCTACATACATACATACATACATTTTATTGGACACTCCCCATAGGGGAGCCACCGACGTGGCTCACATCATGTTGATCATAATTTATATTGCGTGTGTCGTTTGTGCTTCCTGTGTGCTTAGCGCAAGTGTGAACAGCCTCACAAGTCTGAACCACCATATTACCGGGCTACCAATTCGGGTTTATTTCAAGGCTTCAATTCAAGTTGACGATCGTTTAATAGGTAAGAGAATATTGAACTGATTAGAATTAGTTAAGGAATAGATAACTCATAGTCATGTAATGATGTAACAGGGGCTCTCCTTTTTATCCCAGTAGGGTATGTTGAGAGCTCCAGCTCCCTTATCATAACTAAGAATTGCACTACTGTAACATCACTGAACCATGGGGCAAATAAACTTAAGACTTGAGCATAAGATTCGATTGTACTTTTACCTATTGGCTTATAAAGCTTGCTACGTTAGTCTCATCAGGCATTGGCGGACTTTGAGCTAGTGCTCACGGTTACTGAACAAACACTAGCCGCTTGTTTTTTGAGCGACGGTTACATAATTAGCTCCTAAAAAAACGTCCAGAACTCATTTGACTGGTACGGTAGCGGCGTTAAGTTTCTCATGCAAGAATGTAACCGGTATTTTAATTTCTGAAGCAGAAGTCTGAGATTCGAACTGAAGAAACAACTCAGGCGGATCTAAAACATGACATGAAAACAACACACGCAAGTACTCGCCATATTACCGTAGTTACATCATTCGTTTACACATCAAATTAAGCAGTAAAATACACCAGAACACTATTTATCAGGTACCTTTAATTTGTTTGATCGTTGCTGATTTCATGAGCAGCTGTAGTTATCGTTCTGAATAAGTAGCTTAAGTCTGAAGAGAAGCAAATTTCTGTCACTCCATCCGACACAAACACGGCGGCCTTGGTTGGCCACACAAAAACCTTGACAAGTTTCGGAAGACTTCGGCCAATCTTCAGAAGTCATCGGGTGAACTTCGAAAACTTTCGGAAGGCTTCGGGTAAACTTCGGCCATCTTCGGCATAACTCGTATGACCGTCGGGAGCCGTTAGGGGTCTTCGTACTAACTTCGGAAATCTTCGGAAATTGTAATTTGCACTGGTGTTACACTTTGTGCACTGGTGTTACACTTTTTGCACTGGTGTTACACTTGAGCTGCACTGCTCTTAGCCAATCAGAATGGAGTAATTTTTTCAAGTGTATTATTATATATACAGCATAGTTTATTTATATTGGTTATTGGCCAAGATGATGAGGTCAAGATGGCGGGATATTGGCCTCGTTCTTGTTTTGCGTGTTTATGGATCGAGACAAAGTCGAGGTCCATAAACACGCCAGTAGAGAATGAGGCCAATATCCCGCCACACGCTTGGTCAATAATAACCTGAGGGAGTGGGGGACCGAGTCGGACCGTCTGAGAATAAGGCTAGGTCAATAAAGGATTTATTATCATGGTTTTTGTTGCAAAATAAATTCATAAAACTCGTCAACAATCTTGTTTTCTTTGTTTTTATTCTATTCAAGATCACCCATTTCTTTATTTTAGGACTCCACCGATAGAAAAAGACAGAAAATATTTGGGAAATATCTCGGAAAATATTTTCTTCGTGCAAATTACGGACGAAAAGCTAATGAACCGGCGTAAGTAAAAAGTTTTCTTGCGAAAACACAGCGGGCCATCTCGAGTGGTCAAGATAGGTCCATCTTGACCACGCGGGTAGCCAATAATAATAATAATAATAATAATAATATTATATATATATGATTTCATTCATATATTCATCATCACAATAATAATATTATTATCATTAATAATAATAATAATAACAATATTTTACCAGGAGGCTCCTCTCACCGGGGTGGTCCTAAATCACAGTAAAGGATTTGCTTCAAATATTAACCTGCCCGCTCATAGAGTGATTTCTTAATTTCTCGAGAGTTCATTTTTATTATCTTTTAATACAATAAGAAACCGTGCAATGTACGACGACAAATTTTAATATCAAATTTAGATTTTTTTGTCAGACATTCATTGCACATACAAAGTATCCCATAATTTATCTTAAATACTGACGATTAACAGTTTCTCTTTCCCCAGTCTCTCTAACTAACAGTTGCAGCCATGTTGAAAATCCCCCCTACCTCTGTTGAAAAAACTGCGCCCGGCCCCTATGTACTCACAGCAGCGAGAAGTGTCTTCCAGAGGAGATCATGTGCAAGACACACAGAAACAGTGGGCCGCACTGGGAGCTTGGTTTATGGGTCCCAAGGCGGAAAATGGAGAAGTGTTTCGGGACCTTTTGACGCAAGCTATCGATACTCATATTGGATTTCGTCGCAAGTAAATATATTAGTTGTGTTAATTTTTGACAATAGACCGTTAATAAGTATG